ACAACTTTCTGCGTATGGGTGTTCCAGGATAGATTTGAAGACAGTGAGACCCCCAAATAGACCGTTTCGGTGACACACTGAAGCGTACAACCAGATAGCTCGTAAGGATAGCTGGTGTGATCTCTCGTATGGGTAACACGTAGGACCTCACATTTGTCAGGGTGAAAACTAAGTTGCCAATTTTCGCTCCATTTCTGTAGCGTGTTGAGGTCACATTGAGTCCACAATTTTAATTTAAGTACTCGGAAAATGCAAAAGAGCCATGTGAGTGCAGGGACAGACGGCTTTTTACGGACCGGCTCAAGTCAAACCCTACGGCCTTTTTGATGAACTTGCAACCCATCCGGAAGGGATGCAGTATTCCCAGTCTTTGCTATGAAAACCCAGACGAGCTCCTACAATGAGGCTCAAGGGCTGCAGAACAAACTTGAACCTTTTTTCTTGTATATATACAACCTATCTTTGACCTCTGTACAATTTTTTATCAGGAGAGTTTCAATGTGTTTGCATATCGTTTTTGTTTCTTTCTTTAGAAACAAGCTGCATCGTCCGGTAAAAGTGAATTTTTGTCGTCTCTGGTGAAATTAAAGGACGCTCTACAGGCTCACAGTAAAGATCAAAAGGTAACAGCAGGCGCTTTGAAAATAAGAAGGGGAAAACACAAAATATTGTCTGGATGAAGAATTAAACTTAAACAAATATCAGTTTGTGCCATGTATGTGCAAACCCGCCATGTAACACTGAAGTCTTCTTTAAAGTCATTGTCACGTTATCACGTTTTCTTAAAGCGTCATGCTTGTTATCAAGAGACATTCAAAAAACGTCTGGAAGATTTATAAGGTGAATAGGAAACCATCTACATCTGATCCAATTAGTCTGCTCGTCGTGATGAATAGGTTTTGAAAATTTTGGAATATTCTCTTGTTTTAGAGTCCAAAGGAACTATCAATGTCCAAGAGTCAGGTGGAAGTGAACAGTCATCCCTATAAAGATGATGCAGCAAAGACAAATGTGAGTTGACGTTTTCAACGTAAGTTTTTTACTGTGGCTCGTGCAGAGACATTTACAGACTGGAGAGGAAATGCTGTTTATTTTTTTCTTCAATTTTCGTGAATCTATTTCTAACCGAAATTTTTTCTTTCTCTCTCTACTTGGTATGTTTTTTGTATTTATGTACCTGATCCTGTTAATTAGCCAATCATGTTCAGAGACCTCAGTTTAACCTGATATCGAGGATGACGTGGATGCATTTGTAACCACTCGTTTTTGGAGTAGAGTTCAGTCTTTTTTGAGCCTTTTATTGTTTCAAAATTGTGGCGTGTGTTTTACGTGAGTTTGAGACTTCTGGACGGCTTTATTAACAGCCAAGAGTTGCGTTTTTGAATTTAATACATTTATTTCAAGTTTAATAACGGAGTTTGGACTCTAGACGCAAAATGTTTTTCACAAATAGTTTCTTTTACTTTTCACCATTGCATCACATGATGTATACTGCAATGTAAAATTTAAGAGTCATTAAGAAATANCCTTTCTGAAAATCATTTGAAAAAGCTTTGTCGTGAGTGCGGTAATTGGTAAAAGAGCAAAGTGACACGACAGTCAAAATTGATTGTGTCTGAGCCTCTTGAAATGGACTAAACCCGTCAAGAAATTTCCTGTTCATTTCTCAGGAATTGCGACAATATTGATCTAAGTTTTGTTCTGCTGAAATTTCTGTCAAAAAAGATAAATAATAGATGGTTTTCAATAGCTCGCCCACGTTTGTTTGCAGTTACAGCTTGTGAAAAAATTTACATTACAGAAGTAAGAAAACTCACTTTGAAGGCGTTAAAAATCTTCCTTTACACAGTTGGTGTTAGTCTTTTAAATTCCCACTGTTTGTCACAGGGCGTTTTTTTTCCCGTCTACTCGCCCACTCTAAAAGGAAATTTCCAGAGCTTCCAAAACCAGATTGTGATAAGGTTGTAGATTGAAGATGATGTGTTCACGGAATTCTCTAATTTACCGAGAATCCTCTTCATTTTTTTCGTGCGGGAGGATTTCTCTCAAGGTAGAAACTTTTGTTTCCAACGCGACGCAAAAAAGAAAGAAAAAAAATTGATGAAAGATTACATTTCCTGGCTACGTGGGCAGCAAATCCTTCTTGGCGCTTTTAGCATAGGAAAGATATCCCTGCTTGATATGCCTGATGAATTTCCTGTAAACGGCAGTTGTTTTTTGACACAGCAAACTATGGACACAATTATGCCTCAAAAGCGAACGCACAAAGGTCATTAGGCGATTCACGCAGCCCTGACCTTATTTCGCACGACACGTTGTTGATGTTTACCTAACAAATTTGGATTTTATTAGGAAACCGCTTACCAGAAAAATAGCAAACCATTTTGAGGCTCAGCTGCTTAGCTGTCATTCAAGAATTTTTTTTAGTTTATCGGAAAAAATAAATCATACATTTAGTCAGCTCCGAGCGCGATGTTCTATCTTGATAAAAAAAATCAGTTGAAATAAGAAATTATAATAGAGGTTCCTCACGCTCATTACGTGCCTTTTCATAATTTAAGTCGCTCCTACAGAAATTGCCTATCGGGGAAATCCTACTTTTAGGATGAATTCAAATGAGTTTGATTGTTATTCAAATTGATGTAACCGGAGTTATCGCGGTCTAAACAGACATTTGGTCTTTGGTCGTGGATCAAAGAGGAAATAGAAGTCTTTGCTGCCTTGCAATGCGAATGGAAAATTGAACCTGGCGCCAGAGCCGGCGGAATTTTTTCCCTGCCATTCGAGAACTTGAGGATTTTTGGGAAAAAGTAGTCGCAATTGATTTAAAGGTATTTTTTTCATCTTGAGTCATGCTGTATAACCGTTTACACATCAAAAATATTTGGCTTTATCGTACGGAAATCGTTCAAGTTGATATCAAGGATTCGTCAACTATGAAGACGACTTCTTTCGTTGTTTGAAAATTTGGCTTGAAAATTACTTCGTCGCTTGATTCCTGCACCGCGGAATTGATAAATAATTCTGTTTTCGTTGTTTCTTGGTAAGAGACGATATTTGTCTGGCTTTTCAGTGTACAGTGTATATTTATGTACAAAGAGATTGCTGGAATCCATGTCAAGCGCAGAAACTTTGACAATGAGACTTTCAGGCGTTTTAAAATTTAAAAAAATTAAGTAACTCAAAGTTTCGTTGGCATAAATTGAAACACTTTTATCATGCTAAAAGTTCTTAATATAGAGATCGACAATTATGGTTTTTAGCTCGATACGATTGCGGCTTAAATCTTCAATGTAACAAGAGGTATTTCTTCTGCATAAATCGTGAAGAGGAAACGTTTACTGTAATAACAGAAGTCGGTTACTGTGTAGTCTCGAACTTTCGGCGATTTTTTGTAAGTTCATGATTATTTTCCTCCCGATGTGCTTTAACTTCTCTGCATGAAAGCTGAACGGCATTTGGAAGTTACGTCCAGTGCGTTTATTATCGAGCGGAAAATGCAATCGAAGTAAATATTGGTAGAATTGACAAAAAAAAACCCGCAATATTACCGAGGGAAATTTTCCAAATTTAACGAGGCATCTCCTCACAGAATAATAATTTTGTTTCTCATTCTTCTCTTAAAGTTTTGTCAGAGAAGAAATTATTCGATTTCCTGCGACCAATGGTTTTTACTACACCTGCTTCGCTACTAATTGATGTATTTGCGATCAAAATAACTCCCATCTTTTATTTTTCATAAAATGAAATGAAATGGTTTGGGAAGATTTTAAGTTCTCACGAAATGAAGCAGTAAAAGGAAATCAGGATAACTTTTGAGAAATCGTCGAGGAGTCGAAACTGGCGGTGTTTATCAATTAGAATTCATTTGTCGGTTTTCATCAGATGTTGTGTGGTGTGATCACTCTGGGCCAAAAACAATACCGCTCTCAAATAGATTACAGTTTTAACAATGAAGTCACATCAAAATACGCCAACATTAGTGCGTTTTTATTTGTTCCCTCCACCGGTACTAGAGCTTCATTAGTTTTGGGAAACAGGTGTTCCTGTGTCAAACCTCGCTTTGAAAACGAGACCGTGACATGAGCTTGCGTTGGAAACGAGGCTGTCGGAAAACCATGACAGAATAACATCTCGTTTTGAACACGAGGCCACGACTCGATGAGCCAACTTTTTTCATATTTTGGAAAAAAATAAAGTTTTTCCTCTAAACTTCGCTGAATATGGTAAAATTTGAAGGCCACTAGTTTAAAGGCCCTCAAAAATATCATATTGCTCAACTCAGACACCCAGGTAATTATTTATAATTTTACAAAATGTCACGGTTTTCGTTGTTAGTCTTTATTCCATCTTATGAATCTTCACTGAGAAGATCTTGACAATTAATCTCTTAGAAGATCTTTCTTGCTCAAAAATTTGCAACATGCAACATTTCAAAAGACGACTGAGGCAGAATTGTCCAGTATTCAACTCAAACTTTGACGAAAACATGGCCAACAAGATGTCTTTTGTCGCCAGTGATTTTTTTTTTCTTCTTTCGGTAAAATTGAAATAGTTATTCATTGTGGGTTTTTCTCACCGTGTTTCTAATCACTAGAGCTTTATGTTTTGATTCTCAATTTATTTGAGTTCTACCTGCTCGATTTTCATCAAAACTCCGACATCGGCATTGCACTTTTTCCATGGTAAGGTTGGAAGTTTTTCGCGCTTGAAAAAAATAGGTTATTCTCTGTTTGCTCTCCATCTCGGTATTAACACGGTTCAAATTATTTAAGTTGAACCAATGAAGTGCGGTATTTTCAGAATCGTTTTTCAAATTATTTCGATTAAATTAAGAAAGCTTGTTGTTTTGTCAACAACGTAGTTCGCGCCCTTGTGGATAGAAATTACCATTAATCGCAGAAACATCTAGAAGAAAGTTGGCGGTTTTCAGAAAAGCAATCAGAGTTTGTCTGAAAATGTGAAATAGTTACAACTTATCTATAACCATTGCTGTCAAAAAAAAAAACCAATATAGTTGTTATGAAACATTTAATATAATCTAACTAGCAGGTTAAGAAAAAGTTTTGCCGCGTCTCGCGAACAAATGGGATATTGTAGCAATGCACTATTTGGCTTAAGTCATAGCAATTATGTTTACGAAGAACTTTTGGCTATGAATTATTCACCAAGAAGCGCAGAGAAATAGAATTGATTTTATTCTCCGCAATCTTAATTCGACCGCAGCTTGAGGATCTTGCAGAGTTGACCCATAACCGCGTCCTTGAGATCAGCTCGCGATAATGAAATATATTTATGTTCATTTTATCGCGTACCGTAGTTTTCCAAGTTCAATGATAAAAGTTGTTTCTTGCAGGGTTCCCCGTTAGCAAAGCCGCTTCCACTGAGTACTGACGAAGTCAGAGAAGACGCGACAATGTGGCGAATCACAACAACTCGAAAGCTTGCGGAATTTGTAAGTTGACAATTTATTTCCTGTAGTAAATTAGATTTTACGACGTTAACACATGTTATTGACTAACATATTTACTCCGGTGTAAGTTAAATTGCGTGCCTTTCGTAAATACAGGAAGACAACGTTTCTTCACAGAATTTCCTGCCGTATACATCTTCCTTTTTTTGTTTCAGCACTGATTCATTTGTCAGGTAGCCATGTTTTGAGTAACTTCGTTTATAGTTTTTGATTTATCAAAGTCGACCGAAGTCTTCGGAAGAACTTAAGAGGAGAAATAGTTCTCAAAACATGAGTTCTGCCGACGCAGTAATCATCCAGCTACAAAAACAAGACTAAAAATTTCTTCGTGGATTTTATTTCGGTTTTTCTTAGTTTTGCTATCTTCTTAGTGGACGTGGGGTAACATACGTATTTGGTGGTTATTAAATGACGTATTTCGTGCTTAAAAAACCGCTTTTCTTTCATAGGAAAATCAATCTTGGAGCATATTTCCAGTATTAAAATGCAAAATTGAAAACATTTTTTATTCTAAATCGTTGATGTATGCATAATACTAGAATAGTCAATACACATTCTTAACCACGTGACTTCGCTTTATTCGTACAACTGCGCATTAAAGTCTGAGTCCGATGATTCCCCCGGAGAAAAAGAGAATTCCCAGGGTTTCCATAGTAGTGTTGTAATAAACTTTAAGCGAAATATGAGTCCAGGTTTTAAAGGGGCCGTCCCGAAAAAATGCCAAACATCGAAATGTTACATAAATGGCACTTCGGTTAAATTTGAATCGTTACATTGTTACTTTGTGCTAAAAGGTCAAGTGTTTACTTTTCGAGGTTTTTTGTCGCGTATGTTTTATTCTTTGTCAATGATTTTGAATAAAGGAAATTCAATCCATCAAATTCTTTGTACCAAAATAACGGAAATTCTATTGGTTATTTAATCTAAATCCATTAGTTCTTGACAAATGAAGGAATGGCATTTATTTTCCCAACAAACTCTAGGTAAGCCGAGAATTACATTGTAGCATATCGGAAAATCTAAACTGAGAACTATTGTTTTCTTTTTAAGGAATAAAAAACCGTTTCAAATAGCTTATGTGATAAGAATGTTTGATAACTGTACCGAATTTTCTAAATATATTCAGATCGATATTAATGTTCAGCCGGATGAATTTAGACTTTCTTTCAGCTTTTCTCCTTTAATAAATTCTTTCGCAATATTACAATAATGATTGATCATGGGTTTTGATTTACTTCATAATTCTATAATCGAAATCAATCGAGCTACGACAAATGATAGAACAGCGGAAGGGTTAGCCAAAAAGTCGGTAATCTTCTGCCGAGATTACACCGAGCAGAAGCCGAGCGTCACAGTCGTGTTTCATCGGGGGTTTGTTCGCGGAGATGCTCCCTCCAGAGCAAATCGATGAATTGAAATTCAATTCGCTCTCGCAAGCCTTCACGACTATGACCTTTTTCGAAGAAGAACTCGTCTGCTGGCGGACGAATGAAGGAATGTGTTCCTATCAAAGACAAACTCGGTCTGTCAGATACGAGGTTTGTGTTTTTTTGGAAGCGTTGATAGTTTCTTGCAAGTACGCAAAAAATGGTCTAATTTTTTATGTACTCGCAAGGGTAACTAGGGAATTCCGCATCTGTTTGTTCAATGTGTCAGAGTGCTTTAACCCAAGTTTGGCAGCGTCGGTGTAATTTATTATATGGTCAAACAAATGATTTTCGAAATATTTATTCAGGACAATTTATCTGGAGCGATCGGCTCGAGTATAAAAGTAGAGGAAGACTTGAGCTTTCTGGAACCATAACAAAAAGAAAGGAACGAAAAGATAAGAATCTTATTCCTGATTTAATCAAACAAAAGATAGAAATGTGTCTTACTTAATTAACACACAAATTGTTCCTAGATGATTCGGAAGCCATAAAACTAATAATTTTTATAGCACTTTGTGATACTACAATGTTAGATTTATGGAAAAAACAAACTTTTCTGTCTTGATGCAAGGACGCTGATTAATTCTTTGCGTCAGGGATGTCTTTGGAAAGAAAAGTCTTCGTTTTGTCGTTTTTTTTTTCAGTCGTTTCAGATGTACTGGGTTGAGAATTTTTCGATTATATTTATTAAATCCAGCTGCGTGCAATTTTTTTTTCTACGTGATAAATGATATGTGTCTATTTCAAGCATGTATTTACCTCTAGTTGTCAAATATTGATCATATTCACCCCGGACGCCCGTAGCATTTCTATTCACTTTAAATTGTTGTAGTCATTCAAATCTAAGGTCGAGGTGAGCAGGCGTTATTTTCGAGTTGGCTCATACATTTCTCGTGGCCATCAAACGAAAATGGAATAAGTGCTTTATCTTATAAAACGAACCCAGGTGACAGTCGTTATTTTCGTAGCTTTGTACAGCTAGTGGATTGAGAGGAAAAGTTAATCCTGACCGCTCATCGTATTTCCATAATGGCGCCTACAAACGATTTGTCTCTTTTCGCGCACCGCAATCATGCTTTGTATGTTCTGTGTTGACAAGAGTTAATTTTTACCAATGGCGAGTCAGTGTAATTATCACACTTAGTAAATTGTAGATCATCTTTATTATAAGCTTTAAAATATCACCGACCGTTGAGTGAGTGGAAAGATTTGTGCTTCACAAACTTTCTTTTGCGCTTTCCATTTTTTTTACCATGAATAGTGCTTACCCATGGTGCTTTGCAATACTCGACAAATTTTACGACTTCTTCGGTGAAACTTCGGCAATTCGTTTTTCAACCTTGTTCCCCAGAACACGAGTTACAGCACTCGCAAAGTGGTCAAAAAAGCCTGTTTTTTGAAAACTCCGGAGGGAAGGGAAGTTGTACATGGAGTTATCAGGACACGAGGTGCGAACGGGATACAGAACTGAAAATTCTGAAGTTTACTGAGCGGTTGTATTTAGCCACGTAGAACCCCTTTCTAACCACCTGCTAAGGAGCCAAGTCGATTATAGCTTTCGTTCGGTAATAAAATAGGTACGGGATGCAGGATTCCGGATAATCATACAATTCTGTGGACCTTCGATTTCTTCAAGAAATAGATTCAATGTTACTGTGCGTCTGTTCTGTATTATATCACAGATGAGTTCATAATGTGATAAGAACAAAAAACTCGCACACAAGGCGTAGTCAACTCTGTCATTGATGTTCTCACCACATCAAGTTTGACGTTTTCTGTGATCTATTGGTGACGTCACCATTTGTGATGGTGACGTCACCAATGCGTCTGTTCTCTAATAGATCACATATGAGAACCAATCAGAATGTATGTATGATGCAGCTTATCATCTGAAGAGTAATGATCAATGCGTTCGTTATTTAATAGATGACCTTGCGTCAGATGCTTAGTTAGTGGCATGGAAACGAGCGAAAAGGTGGGCGTCAAAAACGCCAGGGCCCAGGCCTCTGCAGCCGTTCCTTTGACAATTGCATTCGCCCAGTTTGCCACTCTTTTGAGGGTTTTCGCTCGTCACTTAAACCAATAAGGTTCTAGGTTTACGTTAAGTGGATAAAGTTTGAAAACACAGAGGTATAGCGGAGTTTTTAGGAAGGAGAAATAACCCAGCAAAAAAATTGGATACCGAAAACGCCTTTTGACTTACGGCAAAAAAAATTCTTAGCCTGCCCTTAAATTTGCGTCGATTGGGAAGTTGGTCTCTGATTTATGGCTGGGTGGAGATGGTGGGGGATCATACTGTACACGACGGGGTGGGGCGTGGGTTGAGTAACTTGTTGAGGAAATGAAAATATGAGGTTTAAACTTTCATTGCATCAAGTTGAGAAGGAACGGTTTTATTTGTTCAAATTCGAAGAGCCAAGCGATCGGTCAGAAAAAAAAAAAGCACGATCACTTTATTAGGCACTGATTGCCGCTATCACATGTTAAAATCTGGTTTTCATTTTTACCTTTGAACAGTGTAGAGTAATGATTATAATGGCCTGTTCTTCTTCTGAAAGTGATATAATTTTCTGTTACTAGACAGAGCTAAAAACAGTAGTAAACGGAATCAATTTGATTTTGTACACAAAACAGATAATGCGTAATTTTAACCACGATGAAAAATGATGGCTTTTTACTCTATTCTAATGATTTTCTGTGAATCGGACGGAAAATGAGGCGTAGCAAATCGCCTCTTAACAGTAATTATCTTTGTTCAATACAATCTGTGATTCTTACAGACTTGAGAATAAGATCAATGCAAATATAAAAGACTCACCTCCGCGACCAATTTTTTAGTTCAATGCAGATACTACAAATAATCAGTTCCGTATAGATAACTTGAATAAATCAAGCTTTCAGATTGGTCCTTTCTATCCACAACATTAAAAATTTAAAAGTGATGGCGTTCTCCAAGAATAGCTTGACGCCTAGAATTTTATGGAGCCTGATGTGAGTTAATATATTCTGTTAGTAGAGTTTCCTTCAAATATCAGGTGAAACCAAGCGAGACGTGACAATAACTAGTCTTTTTTCGCAATGGGATTTCAACATTAACTGACAAAGTCTTTTCGTCGTGTCATTTTGGCTGCGTTTGTGTCAGAAATTGCACGGATTATCAGTGAAGATCATGATTTTTGTACTGTGGGGTGGTATTTCAGATTTATAAGTAGAGGATAAAACCGATTCTCAGTATGTCGACTGACACAGAACCAGATGTAAAGGAAAAATCGGAAAACGATTCGGTAAGAGAAACTTTAATTCTGCATTCAGTATGTCTGCCATTTGTTGTGTTGAAATAGTTTGCTTAGAAAGGCCGCATTGAACAATTCATCAGCCATTACTTCTTTCAAAGAGGATTAAAACTTGATTGGAATGAAACTTTATACGAGTTAATTCGACTCAAAACCTCCCCTAATTTATCCCCTGAGGCGAAAAGCGAGTTTTTAGTCGCTGTTGATATCAACGCCGTTTAATGCTGGCCTCCTGGCGCGTGCTAAAGTTGCAACAAATTGAAACGGTTGTTTGTATTTTCAGGAGCACAAGATGGCGTCCGTGCGAGACGATTTGGATATCAATCCGATGATGGATAATCCAGTGTTTTCGACAGGGAGTTCTGTTAATCTGTTTTGCCCTTTGTGTCATGAAATGTTTGTGAACCCTCGACTGTTGCCATGTCTGCATACGTTTTGTAAAAGATGTTTGGAAAACCTTGTGGTCCCGAGGTCAAGTTCGCTCAGCTGCCCTGCTTGTCGTACAGATGTCCCTCTCACGGTACGTCTTAGCGTTTCGTTTTGTTTAATTTTTATCATAACCTCGTCTCCTTCAACTTTAGTTACTTCGAGAAACTATAGCCTATCCCAACAGTCATTTGATGATTTGTTTGACTATATCGAAACCATTGTTGAAATATCGTTTACGCAAAGATGACCAGATAAACCATCGCTGGATTTTAAAGGCCTTCTTTGTCAATACCATATGTACCCTTATTGCCGCTTGCCTTCATAAAAATTTCTCTCTATTTTACAAAGAAGCTTATTTTTCCTCAAAGCCTAATGTAGCTCGCATCGTAACACCTGAAATAATTTATCCTATCTCAAAATTTGTCTTCGTTGCTTACCATTTCATCAGGATTTTTTGCACGTGTCTTAGGAGTGGACAGTTTCCATTTCATACATAATGAAAGGGTCATCATGATATTTAGTCAAAATAAAAGAAACCCCGAAACTTGAATTAAGCAATACGTTCGATTTTTAACGAAGTTTTTTCAAAGGCGTGTTAGGCTGAGTTTGTTTCGGAAATTAATGCCAGGTATGATGTTAGACTGACTAGCTAGACTAATTTCTATTCATTGAAATTCGAAAACGCGTCAATAACTTTATTTTGCATTCTGCCGACCCTTGTGGGTTTAAGATCGATGAAAAATATAACAAACTGAACATAATGCAACGCATAAAAGGCTCTTTTTCGTCCTAAACAACGAGCTGAAGCTTTGAGGACAAGCTTTCCTCGACTCTGGCTTTTACATGGAATTCATCCGTACCAAACTCCGTTGTAGTACCGCCCCCGCAGATTCAACCATGCATTTTATTTGTATTCATAATAAGTAAAGATCAAAAGACAATCGAGAGGCCTAAAATAAAACTATATAACCCCAGGTTATTATTGTGCGAAACTGTGCAATAGTACCTTTAAATTAAAAATCATCAAATTCAGAATCAACATGCGTGTTCGATTGAACTCGTTAGACACAAGAAATCAGCTTTGGAATCGTTGTTTGCTAATTTGAAAAATTTCTGGAATACACCGTGCAATTTCTCTACGAGTTTCCTCAAAAATGGTTGGTGGCGGTGTTCTGCCGCCTATAGTCTGCAAGTTTAGCCTGCGTGTGGGCTATAATGTTTTTGTTTCGCTTTAGGAACGGCTCAGCCACCTTTACCTCCATTGACAGCCGTTTATGGAAAATGCTATCGAAACCATTGCTAAGTTATGTCATTATGCACCATTCGGTTTGGTTTATAAACTCTTTTTGTGTCTGATGTTTAGCTGACAAAACCACTCTAAGAATCACGCGCCGATTTTACGCTCCTTAAAAATCTCTACAGTTCTCGGTGTTTTGAATTACCACTCATAAAGTTTATAGTTTAAAACGAGATCAGAAAGTTTTCAGAGATATCATTTTGTTATTTGCGACAGTTTCTCATCCATCTGCACACGCAAGTAGTGTAAAATAGCTAGGCCATTGAGTTGCGGAGAAGTGAAGGTTCATTCGACAACTTTACGTTGCAATTTCCGAAAGCCTGTTTTAATAACTCATTAACTGGGTCAATTATTCCAGAAATAATCAACGGCTAGGCCTGTGAAAGCCCTTCGCATAGCAAAACTACACGTGTGTTTCTTTGCTTGCTAAAATTACACGTATTGTTACTTGAAGTTTTCGTGGCCTTACAAATTCGTGAAACTCGAAAATCAAATTAATCTGCACGTGACTTTTTCTTAACGCCGCATAGCTTGCTTAAGCAAATAGACTCGTTGATATCTTAACCATGGTTTAGTTTTACTTTCCTTTCATTTCATTCTCTAATTTTGTTCTTAATATTTTTTTGTGCTATTTTTTTTTTCAGGAGCGTGGTGTCGGCGCTTTCCCGCCAAATTTCGTGGTAACCACCATGATGGACGTGGCGGCAGTGCGCGCGCACGATAAGAACCCGATCATGTGTAGCAGCTGTGAAGACAAACTCCCTGCGGCTGCGCGGTGTATCGAATGCATGGACTTTCTCTGTCATGACTGTAGAAATGCTCACATGAGACTGAGGCTAACCAAGACTCACAGGGTAAGCGCAAACGTTTTGAAAAAAAATTTGAGAATAGCTTTTGAAATGTAATTTTGTATATGATTGGTCAGTTGGGCGAGTGGTGCGAATAATATGGCCCCATCAGAAAGTGTAGTATAGCAAACCCAATGCAATCCTGGAATACTTTCGGCACCAAATTTAAAACTGATCCATCTCAAAAACAGAAACATTTGTTAAGAGTGACAAATCTATGCGAGTCTCTGAACTCCTAAAAACAGATTTATTGTTTCACCCATAGAATGGGCGAGAAGAAAATAAGATCTTATTTTAATTGTTTTGCGGTTATTTTAGGTTGTGTCCTTAGACGAACTCAAATCCAGTCCACGTCCTGAAGATTTACTCCATCGTCCAATCTTCTGCATGGAACATACCCATGAAAAGCTAAGGTACGTTGCAGTCAGAAACGACTCTGCAGTAATAACAGATAAGAATTATATTGAAATATAACACTTAACACAGCACACTAGAAATGATTACGGTGTCAAAATCGAATTAGAACGCTCTTTGGGAATTGGAGCAAAGAACGTGAAGTAATTGAAAAGGGAAAACTGTGCAAAAACATCATCGCTGATGTTCATTTTAGGAAACATTTAAACTGTGTCAGGTGTGGGAAAAAGTAGCTGGAACTGTAGAAGAACGGAGGAAAACCTGTCTAGGAACCTGGCGAAGGAAGGCAACTCGATGCAAGAACTTAACTGCTATGGTCCAAGGAGCTGGGAGTGAATTGCCCAATTTAAAGTCGTCTAGTATTTTACAGTTACCATTAACCAGAAAAATTCCTTGTTACTGCAGTCACTTCGACAAAATTTGCCAATCACATTATTAGAACGAGCAATGCAAGCCAAGGTGGCAAAGAGTTTAGAAGGAATTCACTAATGTTTTTCTTTAATCGGATTGGTCAGGTTGTGCCCTTTAAGTAACTGCCTTATAGGAGAGCTCTTAAACAAACAAAGTTCACTGCTGACCGCTGGTCCCGTTTTTACAGGTACTACTGCGAGAGCTGCGAACAAGCTATTTGTCGCGAGTGCACCATGACTTCTCACTCGACGGAACGTCACAAATACACCCAGTTGACTGATACCATCGACAAGCAGACTCAAAACATTTCTCAGCTGGCAGAGAAACTCAAAAGGAAGGTCCCAATTGTCACGCAATCTACCAAAGACGTGGAGGAAGTCACATGCCGACTCGAGGCCCGGGCGGAAGTGGCAAAGTCTGAGATTCAGAAATGCTTTCCTCGTATTTTAAAAGCTCTACAAGATCGCGAAAAAGGAATGATGGCTGAAGTAGAGACTATGGTACAAAGAAAATCAAAAGTCCTGGGATTACAACAGGAAAGATTGGAAAATGAATTAAAACGTCTTACAACTACCTGCAACTTTACAGGTAAGTGTGTTTCACAGGTCTGCAAGGCGTATTCACGGCTGAAGATGAACCATGTTCATCTCACTGGCACAAAATAACGTACATTGCAATTGGATTGGGCAAGACTAAATACTTTAAAACTTCTTAAAATCAAAATTATGGGACTTTCTGATTTGACGGGTACATTTATGGAAGCCTAGAAGCGGAGCCGTGGCTGGTTAAGTTTTACTGCCCCACATTTTAGTTTGGTTACCCACAAGTTGTGTTTTTTTTAGAAATTGTGACCGCAGAGAGACTTGCCGCCTTCGAAAAATACAGTTTTACCGACCAAACAAATTACACGTCGACTAGTTTTCCTTGGCTTGATTGGTTACCGCATTTTCTTAGGTATGGAGCTCCACTAGCGGGTTTTGCGGGCAGGAGTTTTGTTTTGACATTCGACTTGGGTTTTACTCAACTTTTTCTAAAGGAAAGACATTTTACGTCTTTTAGAGGAAGTTTTGAGGCATGGAAACTCTGTGGAAATCCTTGTCATAAAGAAACAGCTTTGTGACAGACTAAATGACCTCATCTCCACCAAGTTTCAAGGAGAGCCCGAAGAAAACGACGTCATCTACTTTGTGGCCAACCAGGATGAAGTTCTGAAGGCACTTGAGAACCTTGGGCAGATTAAAACGAGTAACGCCTTCCCCACCAATTGTACGGTAGCCGATGACATGAAGAATGCAACGAAGGGAAGGAGATCAAAATTTACAGTTCTTACGCGGTAAGAAAAGTTTATCATTGAAATCAAATCCAAGAAGTAAATTTGCTCATTGTATCGATGCTGGTTAGGCCTCATAGTTATTTCAGAAGATTTATGACAGGCAACTTTTTCTTTAAAACTTTGGTCAATTTCAATCAGTTTTAATTTACGTGCGCATGGTAGATAAAACTAGCCACTTTGATTTTATCCCTGCCTAATCTTGTGTTCTTGTCTATGAATTCTCATAAAAAGCATTTCCTGATTGACCTTTCCGCGAACTTTAATATTGGTTTCACGAAATTCAGCTACAAAGGGCTCTAGTGCTAATGTGCTCTAGTGCTTTAACCTCGTTGTGATATTTTTAGTGATCACAGTGGGGCCCAGTGTACTGGTGGCGGTGAGGATGTAATGGTTGATGTGTACACGTCAGATGGAAGAACCGTGCCTGCCGAAGTAAGACCGCTTGGCTCCTCCCCAGGCTCTTCACATGCGCTCTCTCGCTACAACTCACAAAATGTTAGCATTTCATTTGAGATTCACGTGTGGCATGCACTGTAATAATTCATGCGCAGAATAATTACTAACTGTCTTTCTTTCATGACGTGACTCCTCCGTGGTCGTTGTTTTGGTTGTCACGCAACGTTTGGGGAGAAACATTGCATGACAATCCAGACAACAGCCGCGCCGAGGCGTAAATGTTTTATGTTCAATCTCACTTTTTGATCGCACCGTGATTTTGTTTTTTGCACCTTTTTTTTGTTTCACATTAGCAATCACTGTGGTGTCACAATTAGGTATTATTGTAGTGGATGTTGTGTTGTTGTTGTCTTTGCTTCTTTTTAGCCTGTCATTCGGAATGTCACGCAGCACTACCCCGTTGCAGTACAGCAGCGAAAAGGGTTGCGTGACCAACATGACAGGGCTTAAAAACTTATTTGTGCGGTAGACAGATTTTGGCTGAGTGGCAGGCGCTAAATAAAAACGCGAGTAAGGCTCGCGCTTTCAAAATGGTAGTTTTTGAGGATGTGTTGCCCAATTTTTTGCAGGTTGAGGACCACAGAAATGGTTCTTACGGAGTCAGTTACAGTCCTTTTAATGTTGGAATGCACAAGGTGAATTTATTAAGAACATAGTGGGAGGTGCACTTGCGTAATGGTCAGTACACTGGAGCTTGCATCGAGACGCCCGGCCACGAGACCTGGCCTGGTCAATGCGTTGTGTTCTTCGGCAAGCCGCTTTACTCTCACACAACCTCGTTCCCAGGATCTCTCATCGTCCCGCCTCCTGGAGCGAGGGGGGCGGAAGAAGAGAGACCCTGGGACGAAGTTGTACTCTCACAGTGCATCTCTAAAGGGCGACGCCACGCATGGGTCCTTGTCCTTGTCCCACGCATGGGTTTATGTCCTTGTTCTTGTCCTGTTTGCTACAACCTTATTGCATCTATGACTTCTATGTGTCATACCCAGTAAAGCTGTTGAAAAAGAAAAAAAAGATGTTTACTCTTGGCACGCTTGATTGTTTCCTTTCTTTTCACCTCCGTCGATATTAACCTTTTCCAGTCTAACATCATCATGCATATTCTCGATACTGTTTTGTATTTTTTTTCCCTGAGTGCTGAAAAGAGGAATTTTTTTAACAATCAACTGAAACTGGCTCAGTGATAACATGGCCACTTATCTGGTGCCGAGGCCCCTCTGAATCAGAAATCACTTGCTGTGCGGACGCGCAAATTATATTGAGTGTTATGTACGAAAAGAAAGTAACAGTTACTCGCACAAATTAAATTTTAGAAGGGTTTTGACGTTGAGAATTTCTCTCCCTCTTAGGTGTCCGTGACTGTCCGAGACAAGCACATTCAAGGTAGTCCTTTCAAAGTCAATGTTGTCAACAGCGGGGAGTCGTATCTCAAGTTTGGCAAAAAAGGAACGGAAATTGGAGAATTCAACGGGATATTTGGCGTTGCTGTTGACGACGAAGGGCGCATCATCATCACAGACTGCCACAACCACAGAGTGCAAGTTTTCAATCAAAATGGCGGATTCATGTTCCAGTTTGGACGCAAAGGGGAGGGTAGTGGACAGTTCCAATGTCCCACTGGGGTAGGGGTGGATCCTGATGGGAGGATTGTTGTCTGCGAAAGACTGGGCAGCAGAATGCAGGCAAGAAATGATTGAATTGTAACGTGGAATATAAACATACGTGGTATGAGCTAAAACAACAACAGCAATTTCGATTCGATTTTCGCTCTCTGATTGTTTAAATTGCACTTGTATTAAAGGTGATGAGCTCGTTCCGATTCCCTTCATTTAGGGGAAAAGAAGAAAAGGCATAAAATTGATTCGAGTGGCCTGTCCAGATTTTAATCTTCAAAAAAAATTTCCTCCCAAAACAGTTAACGGCATTGAAATACATTTTGACAACTTAATGCACTCGATTAATTCATTTTTTTCTCGCACAGTAGTCAGTTTTGCGTCCATAGGTCCTGTACTTGGTTCAAAAAATTCGCGTCACCTTCTCAACTAATGAGAAGCAGATATGACTAACGCATCTCACCTACGCTTTATCAGACCATGTTTACGTGTTCATACTTTGAGTGCTGATTGGCTCCTAGAGATATGTTTTTTTTTTCTCTGATTGGCCGATGGTGTCCCTGTAGTTGGGCTCTGAATTTTTTTTCTCAGTTCCTACCTATTTTTACCTTTGTAGATATTTGATCGAGATGGAATGTTCCTTCATAAATTCTCCGTTCCAGACCTTAAGGCCTCCACACTAGCAGTAGATGCTAATAGAAGAATCATTGTTGCTGACTCAGCAAATCGCTGTATTCACGTCATCTCACTGGATACAGGTTAGCAATGCTTAAATTGACTTCTTACACCTTGCGCGGGACAGGGCGCGGCAAGCGCCTTTTTCCGCTTTTTGAAGGAGAAGAGAGAAAGCGCGAGGTCGCGAGGCAAGCACGATGGGCACGTTACGCGCGAGACGTGGAGCGTGTGATTCCCTCCGGCCTCCACTCGTCTGAAAAACGTAAAAAATGAAATCTGTCCCGCCTGCCTCTCAACAATATTTTCCTTAATTCATACTTCAGTATGTGATTCGTATTTTCATTTCTTGCATTTAAGTCAATTTTCGCGGTTCGCGTGTTTATAATTACGAATTTGTTAAAAAAATGAAATGTCTGTCTTCAGGTCAGTCTTTCAAGTTTGGTTCTTTTGGAGACGGCAATGGCGAACTGAATTACCCATGCTACGTTGCGGTGAATTCTCAGGGTCACATCATTGTGTCGGACATGCACAGCCACCGTATTCAGGTACGTTATGCCGTCATTCATAGGTTAATTTAAAGACTCTGGTCAAATAATTCTACACATCATGCATTAATTCGAGATCTTTGCAATCATATCCCTATTATGCAAACAGTAGCATAACCAAACTTACAGTAGCACAACCGCGAGGAAAGAAAGGCGCTCCTACGCGAGTAATTTAAATTTAGCCCCGTCCCGGGGGCAGGACTGTCATGTTGAGGAAAAATCTGAGGATAGTGAAGAAAAAATTAAGTAGTAGGCGCCAGTTTCAAACGTAATAAATGGATGACGCTTGATCAAGCAATTTTCAAGTGAGTGTTGAAAGTTATATGGGATTGCATTGGTTTTGCCTTGCTTCGCTTTGTGATTGGTCCAGAAAACTCGCACCACCCTCTCAACCAATCACAACCAATCACGACACTCTTGTTTTCCCGCGCTTTAGGCGGTTTTAACTTTGAGTTCTCCCTGGCTCCCTGCAATTCTTTGCTTTGTTCTGATTGGTCGCTGTGACCGCTTTTGTTTTGTTTTGTTTTTTTTCTCCAACGACACGCCCTGTCTTACAAGTAGACTTTGGCTAATGTATGAGGAAATAATTTGAATATCATCCCTTTTCATTCAGGTATTTGATCCACGTGGTCGTTTCATGTTCAATTTCGGCCGCAAGGGGAGTCAGGACGGGGAGTTAATGCGCCCCACTGGGGTAGCAGTGGGTCATGACGGAAACATTATTGTCGCCGACCGAGACAATCATCGGATTCAAGTCTTTTCCAGTGAGGGACGTTTTGTCACGAAATTTGGTACTAAGGGGGATGGTGACGGTCAACTGAACGACCCACATGGCCTCGCTTTGACGCCGGAAGGAAATATAATTGTTGCAGACTTTCGAAATAATCGTGTCCAACTTTTTGGGCAACCGGCATGAAAGTAGAGTTTTGAAAACGTTCGCTTAGTGAAAATGTGCAAGTATTCGTACGGGACACAAGTTCCGAACACTAGAGAGAGAATGGGCACTGGATAGGTTGCGGAGATGGCAAATATTTGGAGTACGGCTGTAGCGTTAGATCGCCCTGGGCACGTGTTTGGTGGAATGTAAACATGTGACCAGAATCTCGCATAGTTCCATTTCTCCGAGGAGTTGATGTTAATTTAGGTATATAATATCAGTTATTTAAACTATGAAATGGTATCAAGGAATTTTTGGGAAGGAGTGCAACAAATCAATCCCTAGTTTTCTTCTTGCTGTATCTTACATATCCTGTTGTATCTAATTAAACTTTTAGGCGTATAGATACAAGCTAAGAGGCAAAACGCCTTAACTTCATTTATTTTTAATCAAAATTCGCTTCAGTCTGCTTTCGGTCTCTCATGAAACGCGCATGGGGCGCATGGGGCGCAAGGTGGGGGTGGAGGCGAATCTCCCAAAGTCTGGTATTTAAAAAAATAGAAAAAAAAAAAAAAACTCTCATAAAGGGGAAATAATTATAACAACAAAATTTGGCATCACATCGTACTTAAAATAAGTAACAATACATTTTCTAAATTCGTCACATCTGTAGTGTTTAAAGTAAGGAAATTTGGGCAGAAAGGCACCACCACCCACCCCCGCTGAGGTCTGTTAAAAGTCCGTGTGCCATGGTGTGAATGGTGGTACTATTCTATCCCAACTTTCAATTCCTTTTTTTTTGGGGGGGGGGAGGGTGGTGATGTGAAATAAATCTAATAAGTTTGAACCGAAAAAAGGACAATTACCAAAGGTAAAACTAAACCAATGCCTATTTAATCTAGAAAAGCTAAACAAGTGCCTTGCTTTTGTTTTTGGAAGAAGCTTTGGTTTTACATAAAAAAAATTTAAATTCTCATCTTATTGGCAATTTTTCTCACAATAATCTGTGGGTAGCTTGCCTTGCAGAATATTCTTTAGTCGTTGACTTTTCCAGTGCCTTTTAAAGCAAAAATTGTAACAAAAATTCAATACAATTTGGAAAAGTGCCGATTACCGGTAATCAAACAAGCCTGTGTTGCAATCTGTGGAATAACTTCTGTTCTAGCTTGACATTTTTATCTTCTATTTTTGTATGTTTTGTAATACATTTTTGTTTTATTTTTTATAATTTAAAAGATCTTTTAGAGGCATTGGTAATGATTTTGAGACAGGGACCACTCTCATACAGGAAACTGTAATGACTTTAAACTTTACTTATAAAACAGTAACTTTACCCTTATTAGCTTTCATGAAAATCATATCCTTAATGATTCCTTTTGTTCTATAGGAGATTAAGTCAAAAGTGATATATTTGTCATGATCAAACTGTTTCACTGTTTGACAGAGGCTAGCTATGATAACATAACGAGCTATGATTTCAGCAAAACATGACCATCAAAGTTTGTTCTCTGATTTAAGGCTTAGCTGCAAATTCTTTGCAATAGCATGCACGAGTTTTAAGAATTATTGTGTTTATTGAGATCAGAGGAATAAAAGAAATCATAAAAGTTAGAGGTAACAGAAGTTTGATCAAATCATATTTTTATTGAAAAATTGCAACAAAATTACACTTTTGCATTGATGTAAGCGTAGAATTCCCAGTTGTTTTTTATTAATCAGGGCCATTTGCTGTTCCACATAAAAATATGTCACAAGCATTTTAAGATTTATATTCATTTTTGTATCAATTAAGCACGTTGTCTTTAGAAGTAAAGGCTTTGAATAGAACACATTTAGCTGAGTTAAGACAGGTAGGGTGAAATAATTTCCATTCAATAAAGCAAAAATAAAACCATTTCACAAGTTAATTCCATTCCATAAGTCTATCCCATTCTCAAGTTTGCATTTAGTAATTAAATAATGTAATTCTTAGGAGTTGTGGTGTTTTTTGGGATCTCTCTCAACAATAGACCACAATGTCAATAACAGGGCAATTTTGTAAAATTCAGAAGGTCACAAACTGGTCAGCAACAGTCCTTTACCATTCCTCCAACTGCTACTGATTAGGAAACCATTCTAAGTTTCAGGAGATGTAAAACAATCCCGACCTGACCACCTCACTAAAAACAGGTAAACTATACCCAACCTTCCCCACCCGGCAAAAGTGAGGAAGGTAGACAAATGCATAATTCCAATATTTTATTACAAATTCAGGTAAAGCTGTATAATAGACTGAAATATGTTGTGTTTATAGATATCTGTCATACTTTTCAAACGTTTTGCATGCCCTCTGATGAATAAATCTAAGGTATTCCCAAATGTTACCAATTCTGATGAAGCAAAAAGCAACATTACCAAATTGGCAAGAATTTGGCACTAACTTGTTTAATGACTCTTTCTTCGAGAAAAACTCCTCATAACTTTCCCACACTACTTGTGTACAAGCACCTGGTAGTTTTCACTTCATAGACAATATCAGGATGCCACTGCTTTGGTAAAAATATTGCATATAAGGCAGAATGAGTTCCCAAGTCATCCTTTCATAGATAAAAATTTCAATCCCCTATCTTTGGATAAAACCAACCAAAACTTTTTAAAGAGAATTATCTTAAGATGTATTCGTATGCATATTATTTGGCCTTCCAAGTTCTTCAAGCTGCTAGACTTCTCCTTAACTTCATGAAAAAAGCTGACAAGCGCAATGCAGTATCACCAAGTTCTCTGGGCCAGTCATCAAAGATTTATTAGGATCTCAATGGAGAATTCATTTCTTTTGGCAAGAATTTCAGAAATAGCAAATTACCTCATTCCAGCAAGCTCTTCACTGAATGAAAGTTCTGATCCTGAAAGATTGGATATCATGACTCACTCTTGTTATCAATTGCCTCTCAAATCAGCGACTTTCAAATCCAGGCATTGTGAAACCTCTTGCAAAACTCTCCACATTTGCCCTGAGAGAGTCAATTTTTGCCTTTGTTTCTGGGTTTGATTCAATGTGTGAAAGGAAGTCCTTCATGGCATCACCTTCAGAAATAGAGAAATAAACTGTCAAAGGTTTAACTACTTGGCATGAAGCTTACGGAGTTACTGTGTTGTGAATGGACAAACAGTTATGTGAAAATCAGCAGCAATTTGAGTCTTATTGAGAACATTAAATGTCATTACAGTTAAAAGTTGTCTCAATTTGAAAAAATTGAGAGCCACTTGCATAATGTACACAAAACTGTGTGTATATGCATTACATAATTCTACACACAGAAGTTAATAAAAACAGTCATTGACAATAAACCTCATTACTGTGGCATGGCATCCGAGTAGCAGCCTTTAACACCCATTAACAATTATAGTAAAAGATTATATTGATCCCCTGTAAGACCTCTTCTGTTCTGAAAAGTTTGAATCCCATTTGAATGTTAAGTCTGGGTTGGGGTCAAGAAGGTAAAGTTTGTACCAAGTCAAGTGGCACAGAGCTGAATGATGACAAAGGTATGTGAGCGCTCAAGTGTGCGAGGTTTAAAATTTATTGAAATTTGCAAAAATAATAAGGAACTGGCTTTTAAAACCAAAGCATTTTATTGTCATCAAAGGCATTTTCCTATTTCAAAAGTTTTTAAGAAGAAAATTAATTTTCAAAAATATTTAAGGGGTGTACAAAGTTATTGGAAGTTGCTCTGCAATGAGAAAAGCAGCAAGGAAAACAACACCTCAAAGCAACAGAATACAAAATCAACTATGCAAACAACTCAAACTCCATGTTTCTGCAATAAAAGCTACTGCTTGCCCACCCAGCAGGACTTCATCCCAATTTCCTTAGCATTAAGCGACTAGGAGAATTTCTACAGTAACTCCTTCCTGGAAGGGATGGCATCTGACAGTTTGCTGGTAGTCTCATTGATACTCATGAATGGAGAGAGGCACCGTGAAAGTAAAGTGTTTTTTGTCCAACAACAGGACCTGTTGACAGCCTGGCAAATGTTTTATACCTTAGCCCAAATTGAAACCCCACCTGTTGCACTTTGTGCCTCTACTGCTATATTCACCCCTTGGTCCAAATACTCCACAACCTTCACAAAGTCCTCTTCTTTGAAGTTACGGGAAGTAAGGGCAGGTGCTCCTGTCAAGAAAAGAACATTCAATCTTACATTTCAAGGTACTTTCTCACAATAAAAACTACACAAATCTGACCATGTAGATAGTGAGAATACACCAAACCATCAACTGGGTATACTTTTTAATGGTACATGACTATCATCGATGGGGTAGCTTGCAGTGCAGGCGTCCTATTAGGACAAGTTAACATAACAGTTACAAGTTTGCCATTGTTTATCTTGCCAGCCAAGTTTGATTTAGAGCTCTAGAAGGCAATGGCGGAATGGGGTCAGGAAAAGTGATCACTGATGGCCGGATCAAGGTCAAAATTAAAGAAACAATTGCTGTACCTAATCTTAGTCCTCCAGGTTTCAAGGCACTCTTGTCCCCAGGGCAGGTATTTTTGTTTGCAGTGATTGATGCCATTTCTAGAACTTTCTCCACACGAGCTCCATCAATACCCTAATGAACAAAATAGCAACATCAATTTTGATTAGCCCTTCTTTTAAAAAGTTGAATTTAACACTGTAAGGGCCAGTTATATTTAAACAAGGTATAACCCAAACCACAGTTTTACACAATCAGTGGGGCTCAGGCTTTCTCTATTTGTTACATGATGTAATGGCACAAGCAGCATTGTCTGTACTCTTGTTGACAGTGGCAAATTGGCCAATCAGATTACGACATTACTTCCAATTGCGGCAAAAAAAAAAAAAAAACATGTGTCCTGCAATGCTAATAATTACGAGAGCCTGCTCAGAGACTACGGTAGACACTGGTGCTCACCCTTGGTCTAAGATCAAGTAGAAGAAGATGATTGTCTGTACCACCTGTCAATGAAACAACAAAACGAGTACATGTCTAACATTAAATGAATTGCTATTGCCAAAAAAATAATTTATTACGTTATTTATTATGTTTATGTTATGTTAATATGTTTTCATGGGACAACTAACAGTAGATAGGCTACAGCTTGACTTCACCTGCCAGGAAGTTATGTTGGGGTACATAACAAGCTAATCACAAGACTAGACATACTTTCTAGAAGTACTTTCTGCCATAAAAAAATCTTGTACACAGAACACTAATCTAGGAGTGGGTTTCTCCAAGCCTGACCTGATACTATAGAATATCCTAAATCAGTCAAAGCTTTAGCCATTGATTTGGCATTCTTTAAAACCTGAAGCTGATATTCTTTAAACATAGGGCTTTTTGCCTGAAAGAAGAAACAAAAAAAAAATTAAATACTATAAATTTATTGACTCTTTAGTTATCTCATGCCTCTACTGCATTGCAACACATTGCCAATTTGACTTTATAAATGTATTCCTGAACAATTAAAGAAAGATCAGACTACATTGTCCGAAAAAAACTTCACTACATAGTTTGTAACTTTCCAGTGTTTGTATCTTTCTGTCCCTCCAGCAACCATGACACAAATGCTGATTCACAATTTACACAAGTCTTGTCTTAGCGTATGACTCTATTTTATTTCCCGACAGAAACTTGCAAGAAACTCATTTGTTCCAGGCACATGTGGCCCATAGCAACATTCATGAGTGCCGGTCAAAAGCAAGCAACATAATTATGAACATATGTAACTCAATGTATGAAACACAATTTGCAGCAGAGAATAATGCAACACTGGAAGGGGGAGGCATACTTTGTTGTATCTCAGAATTTGCAAACCAGTGTAGATTACAGAAACTGACAAGGATGACAAAAAGGATGCTTTGATTGATGCTTGTCAAATGAGCTGTCACACACCTGTTTTAGTGCCACACCCACTCCAGCGATAGCATGGTTGTGTGGCCCTCCCTGGAGAGATGGAAACACTGCAAAGTCAATGTTCTTGTCAAAATCATACATGATATCTGATGGAAAGTCAGGGATTTCACCATATTTCTGGAAGACCTAAGTCACTAACAAAAATTTAATCTGATTTCTCGCTTTTTCTGTTAAACTTAGCTGATACACTCTTATACAGCTGTTTGGGGAAAGGTTGTTGGAAAAAGCAAAAGTGCACGGAACTAACCAAAAAGGAACTGTGGGTAGTTCCCAGTTCTGGTCCGTGACCTCAGGATTTCAGGCAAAACACCACTGTAGGGAAAAGGCCTGGCAGGTTTAATGAAGGGTTTTTTCCTTCCCAAGACTGAATTTTGAACTAACTTGACAAAAAACTTATAAAAGAATGAACTCTGTGACCCTAATGGATAACAAAAATGTCTTAAACTCGATGAGAACAAATTTGATGTGACCTAAAGAAAAAATTTTAACAATGAAAGTAATATTCCATTGTTTTATTCCTTTTGTATTCACATGCACAGTGATTCAACAAACAATACAGATTACAAAGGATATCTTTCCCAGTTTTCTTGTTTTTTCCTTTGACGCCAACACGATAAAATATTAAACCAGCCCTGAAGATAAAGCCAAAAGAAATATTTCATTATAATGTTGAAGGACTCAAAAGGTTCATCTAAACCATTTTTATCATGATCATTTTTTAAAGGAGAAATTGAATGTAAATTTCTCCCAACTAGTAACAAGAAAACTTGTGAATTAGGTAAGGAGAATCTGAATTAGTACCTGACAGCTCTTAAAGTCTTGTGAGTTGTTGATGTCACTACATGGGAGTGATCAAATGGACTGGGGATCACCTGCATAAATTTTAAACAAAGTGAAGCCTTGTTAAAGTTCACAAAGCAATCAGGTAGACAATCAGACATGGTTTGATGTTACTCTGGTTAAAGATTTAATGAATGTAACCGGGAAATCACAATTCATAGACCCAATGTTTTGACACTCCTGTCTATAGTGCCTTCACCAGGGGTGATCTAAAAGGAACTCTTGTTGCAACGATTAGATCACCTTTGATGAAGGCACTAGGCAGGAGTGTCAAAAAGTTGGGTCTACGAGTGGTAATTCCCTGGTTACATTTAATTAAATCCTTAAATGAGAGTAGCATCAAACGGTGTCTCAAGGTGACGACAATAACTTAAAAAAAAAGATGTTGAAAGAGATAAGATTTGATGCATACTCTCCAACAAACATTGTCTTTGATGGACTCTGACTTCTTAAAACACACAATAGAAGGTGTCTTTATAGTTTCCGACAAACTAATGCTTACCCCAGCTGCTACAAGGCCACTGATATGAGCCATATCTGCCAGTAAAACTGCTTTATGCTCATCAGCAATCTGAGGAGCAAAAGAAAGGAGTTAATAACCAATTATTTCCTTACAAAAGCTCTTAACAATTACTGAACATTGAACAAGATTGAACTTATATTAGAAAACAGAACCACCCTACCTCTTATATGTACAGTTTTCTTGAACCATACCTTTCTCATTCGCTCATAGTCATAAAGTCTGGAGTAAGCACTGGCTCCTGCTATAATCAGTTTAGGACGGAAAAGACGAGCAGTTTCTTCTAATTTGTCATAGTCTATTAAGCCTGTGTCTTCCTGAAACACATCACAAAAAAGGTACAAAATTAATAATCAAAAAAAAAAAAAGAATCAAAGTTAATTCTCAGATTTTCTAACACATTTTGCAATTCTTTTACTGCTTTTACCTTAAGTTCCAGAAGTAATGACACATTGAAAAAAAAAATTAACAAAATTTAAGTTTTTCTACAAATCCTAAGAGTGGCTACCAAAATTAACAAAAAAAATTCTCTGTTATCCAGAAAAAATGGACATGGTAAATAAAGATTGGCCTGTTGAAACAGCAATCTTAAATAAAAGCATTTAACAAGCTAAAAAGGCTGCTTGATGACATGGATTAAAGTAACAATGGTCAATATTTAGTTCTTAGTAACTGAGCGGGAGGTCTGTATGGGAGAATCTTGACCGAGGTCGTCAGTACAGACCGAACACAGTGAGGTCTGTACCAGTGACCGAGGTCAAGATTCTCCCATACAGACTGACCTAGCTCAGTTAATAAGATGTTTATTATATGGCTGTGTCTTGTATGCCAACTTTTTATATTCTTTGTACCTTTTTTTTC